GGAAACTCACAGACCAAAAAAAAAAAAAAAATGGTCGGAATCATGCCAAGGAAATATTTCTTAGGCTATGGCTTGTCACCACACATGTGGTTTACTGTGTGCATTTGATGGTATTCTTAGAACCCTATTAAACCAGCACATTGTGCATCTGCTGGGCTGGGCTCTGCTTTGTACCTTGGCTGGATTTATTCTTTGGTTACTTGAATTCCATGGGAACCTTTATGACCATTTTATATCAGCTCTTGTACTTTTCAGTCTATTTTCATAATAAGTTAATTGTTATTTAGACCTTTTAATAAGTGGTAAATAAAATCAGAAGAAAAGAAAAAAATTATTAACATGTTAAATGGATTAATCCACTGATGAGGTTACAACTCACATCACTGCCTAAAATCCCCCCTCTGAACCTTTCTGTAACAGAGACCACGAGCTTCCAAACTATGAGCATTTCAGAGGACATTTCATATCCAAACCATAAGAATAGTCTTTGTTGACCCATACTCATGGTTTTCTAAGTTGGCTGCTACTTTTCTTTCTCTTGTGAATATATCTGTGAAATGCTTTTTATCCGTGGGCATCTGATGAAGCTTGGTATACTCTCTACAAACAAGATTTGAATTTGCTACTCTAAAATGCTCCATCATATTCAAGATAGAAAAATTTTCATCACTCCTAAAATGTACTTTGTGCCTTTCCCCTAACACCTAGCAAACACTAGTTTGCTTTGCTACCATTGAATAGATTTGTGGGTTCTATATAAATTCATATAAATGGAAATAATAGCTATTATGTATTCTTTTGTGTCTAGCTTCTCTCAATATATTTTCCATTAATCCCATGTTGTGTGCATTGATAGTGCATATCTTTTTACTAAGTAAGTAAGATTTCATAGTTGAGAATACCACAATTTGTCTTTTCTTTTGTTGATGAACTTGTTTTCTACAATTACAATGCCTTTATTTATTTTTATGTGGTGCTGAGGACTAAACCCAGTGCCTTGCACATGCTAGGCAAGTATTCTACCACTGAGCTACAACTGCAGCCCAGTTTTTTATAATTACAAAGAATGCTATGTACATTCATGTGCAGACTGTATATATCTCAAGTAAATATGAAGAAGTGAAGTTTTAGATCATATAGAAATTCATCTTGAACATTTTAAGAAATGCTAAATTGTTTTTCTCAAAATTGTACCAGCAATTTTGTTCTACATGTTTGTTATGATTAGTCGCTTTAATTATAATCAGGAAAATGAATGTGCTATCAGTATTGTTTTTCTCTGTGGTTTTGTTTTTTTGTGGGGTTCTTTTGGTGGTGGGGTATCTTGGTTTTGGGTTTGGGTTTTTTGTTGTTATTGTAGTTTTTGGTACAAGTAGTGATGGGGATTGAACCTAGGACCCATTGCGTACTAGGCAATATTATTCTAATTTGTATTTCCTTGAATGAAATGCAGGTCAAATTTTTGTACAAATTTGGTCAAATCTGGTCGATGTGACAAAAAAAAAAAAAACCCCACTTTGGTCAAGTTTTTGTACTATTTTTATTTTTTGACCAATTTTTAAAAAATTGGATTTGCTTATTATTGATTAGTAGTACTTATATATTTTGAATAAGAGTCCTTGTTAGATATATGTATTGGGAAATTTTCTTGGTTTTAGCATTTTATATTCTGTATTCAAAAATCCCATTATCTAAATTGGGATTTAATTCTGCTGTGTATTCTTTCACTCTCGCTTCACTCATGTAGGTAGTTTGCCTGGATGTGGCTTGCCTTACCTTTCCCCCCAATGCTAAGGATTGAACCCCGGGCCTCACGCATGCTAGACAAGTGCTCTACCACTCAGCTACATCCCTATTTCTCCATTTTCTTAACTGGGTCTTTCAGGTAGCAGATAAAATTCAATTTAGCAACTTTGTCTCTCGTGGTTAGTGATTTGGTTCTAAGAAACCTTTTTCCATCCCAAGAATGAAAAGATTTTCTCCCTAAGTTTTTCTCTAGAAGCATTAAGGTTTTACTCTTTATATTTAAATCTATGGTTCATTTCAAAGTAGTTTTTGTATGTGGTGTGAAGTAAGGGTCTCCATAGGGATATCTACTTGTTCCAACACATTTTGTTAAAAAGACTCAGTTTTCTTTATTGAATTTGTCAAGAATCAATCAAGGTTGGAGATATACCTCAGTGGTACAGTGCTTGCCCCACATTTGTGAGACCATAGATTTGATCCCCAGCACTACAAAAAAAAAAAAAAAATCAAGAGATCATATAGGCATGGGTATATTTATGGACTCTACTATTGTAGCTTTTTATTAAGTCCTGAAATCAAATCAGGTAAGTCCTCCCAGCTTATTCTTTTTCAAAATTGATTTGGCTATATTGAGTTCTTTGCATTGCCATATAAATTTTAGAATCAGTTTTTCACTGTCTGCAAAAAAAAAAAAAAAAAGCTGTGGGAATTTTGTTTGGAGTCTCATTAAATCTATAGATCTGTATGGAATTTACTTTTTAAGTTTTTACTTTATACTTGGGATTAAACCCAGGAGCATTCTACCTGTCAGCTATATCCCCAGCCCTTTGTATTTTCTGTTTTGAGACAAGGTCTCGCTAACTTGCCCAGACAATTCTCTAACTTGTGATCTTCCTGCCTCCAACTCCCAAATAGCTGAGATTGAGAATTTATATCTTTTTTTATTTGTCTAATTAGATACACATGACAGCAGAATGCATTTTGATTCATTGTACACAAATGGAGTGCAACTTTTTATTTCTCTGGTTGTGCATGATGAGGAGTCCCACCATATGTGCAGTCATACGTGAACCTAGAGTAATGATTTCCATCTCAGTCCACCATCTTTCCTGCCCCCATGTTCCCTCCTCTCCCTTCCTCCCCTTTTCCCAATCAAAGTTCCTCCATTCTACCCATGCCCCATGCCCCCATTATGGATGCTGATCTACTTATCAGAGAGAACATTTGGCCTTTCATTTTTGGGATTGACTTACTTCACTTAGCATGATATTCTCCAACTCCACCCATTTACCTGCAAATGCCATAATTTTATTCTCTTTTCATGCTGAGTAATATTACATTGTGAAAATATACCACAGTTTCTTTATCCATTCATCTGTTGAAGGGCATCTAGGTCGGTTCCACAGTTTAGCTATTGTAAATGGAGCTGCTATGAACACTGATGTGGCTGTGTCACTGTACTACGCTGATTTTAAGACCTTTGAGTATAGACCAAGGAGTGAGATAGTTGGGTCAAATGGTGGTTCCATTCCAAGTTTTCTAAGGAATCTCCATATTCCTTTCCATAGTGGTTTACCAATTTCAGTGCCACCAGCAATGTATGAGTGTACCTTTTCCCCCACATCCTCGCCAACACTTATTATTTTTTGTATTCTTGATAATTGCCATTCTGACTGGAGTGAGATGAAATCCTAGAGTAGTTCTGATTTGCATTTCTCTAATTACCAGAGAAATTGATCATTTTTTCATATATTTGTTGATCAATTGTATATCTCCTGAGAAGTGTCTGTTTAGTTCCTTAGCTCATTTATTGATTTATTATTGTGATTTTTGTGTGTGTGTGTGTTAAGTGTTTTTAGTTCTTTATATATCCTGGAAATTAGTGCTCTGATGTGCATGTAGTAAAGATGTTCTCCCAGGTGCTGGGGCTATAGCTCAGCGGTAGAGTGTTTGCTTAGCACATGTGAGGCCCTGGGTTCGATCCTCAGCACCACATACAAATGAATAAATAGAATAAAGGTATTTAAAAAAAAAAAGATGTTCTCCCATACTCTATGGGCTCTCTATTCACATTATTGTTTCATTTGCAGAGAAGAAGCTTTTTATTTTGAATCCATCCCATTTAGAGAATTTATATGTTAATAGGGCTTTGTTTTCTGATCCATAATCATGATGTGTGTTAGTTCATTCCTGCTGCTATAACAAAATACCTTAGACTTGATAATTTATAAAGAACAGAAATTTATTTCTCAAAGTTCTGGAGGCTGGGAAGTTTAGGATCAAGAAGCAGACAGAAGGGCTGAGGGGATAGCAGTTGAGCACTTGCCTAATACGTATGAGCTACTGGGTTTGATCCTCAGCACTGGAGAGAGAGAGAGAGAGAGAGAGAGAGAGAGAGAGAGACAGATTCAGTGTCTGGTGAGGGCTATTGTCTGTCTGTCTCTAAGGCGATACCTTCTTGCTGCAACCTGACATAGTAGAAGAGGCATAAGCATCAAACACTGTATCCTCGCATGACCTAAAGAAATGGAAGGGTCAGGTGATTCTGTGAAGCCTCTTTTATAAGGGTAGCAATCCCAAACAGGAGGAGAGAACTCTCATGGCCTGAGTCCCTCTCAGGTTCCACCACCTTTTAATGTTGTCACCTTGGGGTTTAAGTTTCATTGTCTGAATTTTGAAGAGACACAATATATTCAAGCCATAGCATGGTGTATCTCTTTAGCTATTTAGATTATTAACTTCTCCCAACAATGTGTTGTAGTTTCGTACAGGCCTTGCATGTATTTTGTTAAATTTATTCCCATGTGTTTATTTTATTTTTTAATAATTCAATTTAATGCTGAATAATAGAATGCAGTCTATTTTGCATACTTGCTAAATTCAGTTTTCTAGTAACATTCTGTATATTCTTATGATTTTCTGTGTATCTGATCATGACATCTGTAAACAGAGGCAGCTCTGTGTTATACATACACTTCATTCCTCTTCTGTATCTGATTGTGCCAGCTAGGATAATTACAAGTGTGGAGAGTACATGTCCTTTTATCGTTCTTGATCTCAGAGGAGAAAACATTAAGTCTTTTGCAATTTAGTATTGTTAGATATACATTTTTTTTAAAGATCCTTTTTAAAAATTTCCCTTCTAGGTTCTGAGAAGATGGTTCAGCAGTACAGCACTTGCCTGGCATACCCCAAGTTGCCCAATGAATATTTATTCGAGGAGAGGGTCTTTGTTACCAAGAACAGCAGACCACATTCTTCTCAAGTGTATAAAAAACACTCATTAGTCAGAACCACATGTTAGGGCACAAAATAAGTCAGGGGAATTAAAGAAGATTGAAATCATATAGAGTATCTTTTCCAACCATAATATAATGAAACTGTAAGTCAATAGCTAGAGGGAAACTGGAAAATACCCCTTATTGCTGGGGATACATTCCAAGACCCCAGTAGGAGCCTGAAATCACAAATAATACCAAACCCTAAATAAACCACATTTTCCCTCTAAATCAGCAGCATTGCAATATCAGAGTTAATCTGTCCTTCCACATTTTATGCTCTGGTGCCTCCTCTGCATCACCACTTTTACACTTTGGCAGCATTATTAACCCATATTTTAGGGTTACTTGAGCTCAAGCACTGGGATAACTGCAACAGTAGATCTGGTAAGTTAGATGGCTAGTAAGTGATTAACAAGAGGGTAGCTTATAGAGTCCAGATACACTGGACAATAGGATGATTCATGTGCTTCATGTCCTGGGCAGGGACATTACCCAAAATGATACATGATTTACGATTTATAAATTGTTTATTTCTAGAATTTTCCATTTGATATCCTCAGACTGTGGTTGGCCATAGATAACTAAAAGTGCAGAAAGTGAAACTGCAGGTAAAGAGGGACTATTGTGTGGGGATATTAAACAACATACTCTTAACCAATGGGTTAAAGAAGAAATCACAAGTGAAAATAATCTGAGGACATATGAAAATGAAAACAGCATACCAAATATGAGAAGCAGCAAAATCGGTGCTGAGAGGGAAGTTTATAGTGATAAACACATTTAAAAAGAACAAAGATCTCAAATAAATTAACTTTACACCTAAATGAACTGGAAAAAAAAGAACAAACTAAACCCAACATCAGCAGAAAAAAAGAAATAATAAACATTTCAGAAGAGATAAACTACACAGAGGATAGGAAAGAACATCCTATTTTATATCTTTTTATGAATTTCATGAAATGAAAACCCAAAGTGGGTCACAGCTCTCTCAGCTTTTCTACCTTAGAAGCACATACCACAAAGTACTTTCCTCCCAGTTTTATTATTTTATATGACCATGAAACTTTGGACATGCCCTACCATCCATTAAGCTGCCTTTGAGCCCTTATCCCCATTATTTTCTATGATGTTCTTAAAGGAAACCCAGTATACACTGTTCTTATCTCCAAATAATATATAGTACATTGGGGGCCCAAAGAAATGGAAGGGCACATGTAAGAAACAACAAATGATGGGTTTATTAGCACTAAAAGAAATCGAGCAAGGCTTCCTGAAGCATTCTGAGCACTTTCTGAAGGAAGAGAGGGACAAGCTGATGAGAAGGTGGGCAGACTCCCAAACAATGGCAACACGGATTTTGGGGATATTCCTCAGGCCGGCAACCAGCTGGTCACTCAATGTTACCAGCCTTCTTCCTGTGCCTCCGCCAGGCAGGGAGGACTGTAGTATAAACCTTCCCTGGGGATAAGCCCAGTCACCTAGTCCTGTTTTGTTGTTGTTGTTTTTTTTTTTAACTGCAATGATAAAGGGAGTAGCACACAGGTGTCACATGATTAATTCTGATTGCTCAGAACATGCCCGTATACTTCATACACACCCAGACTCTAGATCTCATGCCATTACACCTTTTCAGAGTGCTGAGATGGAGATGAAAGGAAACAGAACAAACTCCAAGGAAAGCAGAAGAGATGAAAGGACCACAGCTTCTTCAAATAACTCCAAAGACTTGAGAGATTCAGATTCTGCTTGATGGAGTGAACACTGCACATCCTATCAGCAATCATTATGACAGAATGCAACTCCAGAGAGTCCAAAGAAATCATCAAGCCCTAGCCCAACTGTATCAGGGTTCCCTTGATCTTGGTCAGCGTGCTAGGAGTATTTTCCACTTGGGGATAATATTCCTTCTCATCAGAGGCAGAATGGACAATATCACAAAGGATTACACAATCACTTCCCTCCTTTAAAACAAAGTATTTGTATTAGTCAAGACTCTGGGGAAAAAAAAAAAGACTCTGACTTTAAAAATTAGCAGCCTTACAACTCAGTTTAGGCAAAACAAAAAAAAAATTGTTGTTTTAAAGGACATTTATTGGTTCCCATGACTGAGTACTGCACTGGGTAAACTACACAGAAGTTTATACTGACAGGCCTGGGCACAGAGGGGGATGCCTGTAATCCCAACACCTTGGGAGGCTGAGGCAGGAGGATCACAAGTTCAACATTAGTCTCAGCAATTTAGCAAGGCCCTAAGCAACTTAGTAAGAACTTATCTAAATAAAATGTAAAAAGGGGCTAGGGATGTGGCTCAGTGCTTAAGAGCCCCTGTATTCAATCCCTGGTACTAAAATGGGAAAGAAAAATAGTTCTTCAAGGACCAGGACTCTGGGCTAGAACGTGGGAATTGATACTTTCAGGGTCTTCTCTGCCTGTGTCTGTTTCTCGTGGTGTTGATTTCATTCTCTATCCCTGTGGGTAAAGATATGTGCACATACTTTCACCACCTTGCCTCCAAAGACAAAAGGAGTTCCAAAAGAAATCCAGTGGACCCTCCTGAGATCACTTGACCATTATGGAATCCTGAGTTGGGATACTCTGATTGACTAAGCCTGGATGGTCTAGAAGAGGCAGGGCCAGGTAATCAGGAAATGTAATTGACAGCACCATTCAAATCATCTAGAGTGGGTGAAGATGTTCCCAAAGGAAAAAGGAGTGAGGGTACTGTCACTAGAAGGGGAGAATAGACATGATTGAACTGCTGTGGTCCAACACGATGCTTAATCTGTGCTTGGGACACACTTTGTCTTTTATCTTCCCCATGCTTCCTACCAAATTGCTCAGTACTGACTCCTAGGTGTCGACTATTTTAGGGCATCCCCCAAATTAGTGGATAGCACCCCTGAAGCCTGGAATTGAGAAAAATTGCCTAAGGAGATAGATCAGGAAAAGAGCTGGACAGGCAGCAAGGTAGCGTGAGAGGACCCACGATGTTACTAAAAGTTAATATTCATTGAGCACTTATCAACATTTTTTAAGTACTGCATAAGAGACAGTGCCATAACTTTTCTTCACAATACCATTATTTTATAAATGATAACTGTAGCTTAGTTTAGGCAACATTTCCAGGGACACGTGGCTCCTATCTGCCAGGCTCAGCCCATTCTCTACCAATTTGCTGTATTGCCTCCCCACTAAACTAGAAATCCAAAGATGTGAGTTTCAAATGTAAATGGTGGATTTATTTGGGTGGGCACTCTCTATTTTTCACTTAAATGTGTTTTCTAGAGTTGCTTTCATGAAAAAAAGAAGCTTGGACCATGACCCTGAATCTATGCTTAACTCACTCACTGACCCTGAACAAGTTTCTTTTGCCCTGGGCCTGAGAGTGCCAGATCACATCTATGATTGCTGACAGCTGAGATTTCCTCGTCTGCCCTCTCCTCCCAGGCAAGCAGGGGGACCATTTCAGGAACTAAAAGTGGAAAAGCTGGATCTATCGATACCTAATGCAAAGTAGGGAAATCAGATGAGAATGGTAGAGGAAGCCAGAGTTCCGAGTATCCAGTCCAAGGCATAAAAGGACAACTCAATGCAAAGGAAGAGTTGAGTACAGACACCAGGCAAGACAGCCCAGGCAGGGCCACGAAGACTCCCGTCTACTCACTGCAGAGGCTGAGAGTGATGAATGTGTAGACTTTGCCCTCCCAGCACCTACACTCCTGTCCTGTGGAGGATTCCCCCTGTCTATTACATGAGTCTTGGTGTAACTATTAATCAAGGAATCTCTGAGCAGGGTGTCAGAAGGACAAACCTCCCCTACTGGGACACGGAGAAGAAACCCTCACTGTTTCATATGCCTGGATTCCAGAGCTGGTTCCTGTCTATCCCAAACTCTGCTTCTTCCACTTTGCCTTCATTTAAGCATTTGGTTAAGTTTCTCCTGTTTGTAATGAGAAAGTCCTAATAGACACAGCTCTCTCTTTGGTTGAATACTACAATTTTGCTTTTTAGATTTTAGGATCAATAATCATTCATCGAATCCTGCTGTGTGCCAAGATCTGTGCCGAGCTCTTCCACACATGAGAGAAATCCATGCGGGGTTAGTAATTGCTCCGTATCGCTCATCACACTGTACTCATGTAACTTCTGAATGCCTGACTGAGTGCTGGACAGTGGGGAGGCCAGGGTCCAGCTGGACTCTGCCTCTAGGCTGGCCAGCTTACCAGCTTATGGTTTGTCCTTGATACAATCAGGTCCCAGCACCCTGACTTACCCACAGTGTATGACCCGAACCATGGCTGCCTGGCATCACCTTCCAGCCTGTACCTGACTGTGGCTCCCTGTCCCACATTTGCTCTCTGGCTTGTGGCCTTGGACCTGAGCTTGAGGCAGGTGCTCTTGGACTGATTCCTTTGCTCTTCAATTGTTACTTGAATTTTCATTCCATTATTCCTTCCACAAATATTTATTGAGTATTACCAACTGCCAAACATAAAGAATATCCCAATACTATACAAAGGCAGACCTGATCCCTGTCCACATAAACTTAGATAATGTATTGATCTATTTTTCATTACTCTAGTAGAATACCTGAAGTAGGCTAACTTTATCCAGAAAAGAGTTTTATTTAACTCAAAGTTTTGGAGATTCAAGGACATGGCACCAGATTGTCTTGGCCCTGATGAGGATCTCAGGGCAGACGGCAGAAGCACATATGGGAGGAAGAGATCACATCTAAAGACAGGAAGCCAGAGAGAGACTGAGGTCACAGTCACTTCTGAGGGTAGACCCCCAGTTGACCAAGGACCTCCCACTAGCCCCACCGCTTAAAGGTCCCACTTCCCGACAACAGAGAACCCAACTCCCAACACATGAATCTTTGGGAGGCAAAAACATCCAACACATAGTGAAGGTTCTTACAGAATCTTACAGAAAGTTGATGTTAAACAAGCAATTAAAACAAAATATGATGAGTGATAGCAAAGAATTAGAAGACCCCTGCGGGAATATGTGGCTAGACTAGTAAAGTCTCCAGGAATGGAAGTTAATTTGGAGAACAAGTGATAAGTTCAAAGTGGAACTCATTGAGCATGCAGGTGACTGTCATGCTTTGGATTGTGTGGGCTTCAGCTGCTCTGGACAAGTAGCCTCGGACTCAGACTTGACCCAGCACCCAGGATCCCAGTCAAAATAGTCCTAAAAGTCCCCATTATTCTCACAGTTCAACTTGAACGTGAAGCAGACCCATCCAGGTTTGTCATCCAGAATGTTCCAGACCAGCTAAAGAGATAAGAGAGGTCCCTGTGAAGTAAGAAACTTATCAATAACTACATGCTATGCTTGGGGTTCCATGGAGTGTCAGAAAGGACCACCCCGAGTATTCAAAGCTTCATTTTAGCACCCAGTGATGAATAAGGAGCAAAAAAATGTTTGTTGATTGACAATCTTGAACCACAGTAACAGAAAGTGTCCTAAGTCAGGCAGGCTTAACACAAGACAGGCCTGCTCACAGGCAGCAAGACTGAGAGGCGTGGGGCTGGAGAGGACACTCTCTTGACAACTCAGCTTGGAGAAGTTTCCCACTCCCATCCCCTCCCAGGCCTGGCTTCAACTCTCCTTCATCCAATGTCACTCATCTTTCTTGCTACCTCTCCTCCTCAAACTTTGCTCCTCTTAATGACAGTTCTGATTCTCCATTCTTCTGGCTCCGTAGTATGGCCCAGTCCTTGGTGAGTTCTACCTTTTAGTGTGGCGCCATCACCAGGCTCACCTGAGACCTCCAGGTAGACCTCAAGCCACAGGTGAGATTTTCCGAGGAAGTCCTTAAGTTTCCTGCTGTCCGGATGCTCACATTGGGAGTACTTAAATGTAGTCTTCCCTTTAAACTGAATATTGCTGAGAAATCTTTTTCAGACTGGAAGCAATGTGATAAAAGGGAAAAGTTTTTTTTTAAAAAAAAGGTTTACAAAAACATTAGAACTGCTAGATGCACAATGACACTCAAGAGGGGTGGGACAGTTCCATTTTAGATATAACTCAGAGTAATATTATGTCTTCTCCACACCAACACAGGTGGAAATTGAGACTAGCATATGGCCATGACCACAGACAGAGCTGTTGGTGCCCAACCCAGCCAGCAACTTCTATAGCAGGCCGGCCTCATTGGTTACCCACTGCATAATCACCAGCAATTTTCTCAAGCCAGTGCCACTTCATGCTGAAGCTGATGTAGGAAGTGACACTATTGGGATTGAGAGTTGGCTCTCTCTATGCCATCCTGTTTAGGGGAAAATTTACCTTCTCCTCTGCTTTAGGCCTTTGTTAATCATTTTAATAATCATTATTATTCAATCAATACATGTGAAATTTAGAAAATAAGTAAAAATAATACTTTTCCATCTGGGCGCAGTGTTGTAATTACAGTGCCTGTAATCCCAGAGGCTTGGGAGGCTGAGGCAGGAGGATCACGAGTTCAAAACCAGCCTCAGCAACTTAGTGAGGCGCTAAGCAACTCGGTGAGACCTTGTCTCTAAGTAAAATACAAAATAGGGCTGGAGATGTGGCTCAGTGTTCGAGTGCCCCGACTGAGTTCAATCCCTGGTATCCAAAATAATAATAATAATAATAATAATAATAATAATAATACTTTTCCAGCCACTCGGAGATTGGGTTGGATATAATCTTCCAGAATTTTCCATGGGTAAACAGGTGTGAGGTCACAACACACATACAGATATTTTTCTCTCAACATTTATTTTGAAAATTTTCAAACCTACCATAAATGGGAAAAATTATATAATGAGCATCTATAAATAAATCAATAAATCACCTGGATTTATGAATTGGTACATTTGTTTTGTCTGTCTGCCTGTCTCTGTTCCCAAGAGGTACATAGATTTCTGTATTTTCATGTCTAGATATAGGCTCAATATATCTATATGAAGATATAAAGATCCCTATATAAACAGATCTATATAGACAGATACAGCAACAGCCATGTAGAGAAATACATTAACCAGGACGTCACCTATACACACGATTACCACATTCAAGAAATGTAACACTGGTACAACGTTATTAACATTAATATAGCCCATATTCAAAGTTCCCCAATTGCCCAATACTGGCCTTTTCAGTTGGCTTCAAACGTTGAGTTCTCTGGAAGTTCACACAGAAGTGAAGTTTGGGGTGCAAAATGTTGATCAGTACATATGCATGTGAAAGGAAGGAGGAATGGACAGAGGAAGGAGCGGAACTGCCACACCAGCCTGACAAAGCCTCAGTTTGCCCAATGGGGAGCAAGAATTGCCCAGCAGATTGTACTACACAAGAGCCAGACCGCACTTGATAGCCCCTCCTGGGTCAGTTACCTGGAGCAGGCTTCTCTCTGCCTAAAGCAGATCCTGAAGAGCCAACAGCTGGAGGCTGCCCGCCAGCCACATTCTCCCCACTGGGCAGCAGCAGGTCTTGAGGGGAGACATGGGTGGGACACTTCCATACTTCCTGGATCCAATCAGGGGTCACTTGTTGCATTACATTGTCATGTCTCTCCAGTCTTCTTTAAATGATAGCATTTCTGGCTTCATCTGTTTTGGCTGTTATAACAAAATAGCATAAACTCGATGTCTTATAAACAACAAAAATTTGGTTCACCAGCACATTTGGTGTCTGGTGAGAGTCTGCTGTCCTTCCTAGATGGCTCTTTCCATCGTAGCCTTATGTGGCAGAAGGGATGAGGAATCCCACTGGGACCTCTTACAAGGCCACAAATCCCATTTATAAGGACTCCACTCTCATGACCTAATCACCTTCCAAACTCCACACTTCCAAATATGCTCACAGTGGGGTATGTTTCAGCATATAAGATTGGGGGCAGGGGAGATAAACATTCCCTCTATAGCAACTCCTTCTGCCTTTTTTTATCCTTATAATACTAATATTTTTGAATGGGCCAATCAATTGTTTGGGAGAATGTCCTTCAACTTAGGTTTGTCTGATTATTTTCCAACCTACTCCATTCAGTTAAGTTTCCCTTCCATGTAAAATACCTAAATGACAATCAGATTTTCCTGATTACAGCCACTTTGTGGAGGCCAGTGTCTGATCTAGTACCACAGATTGCAACTGGTAGATACATTCCTTAAATGTCTTTTAATCTAGTATGTTATTCCTCTTATGTGATAAATTTGGTGGAGAGACTGGGCACTATCTCTGTATCCCATCTTCTGTTTGCTTTGACTGTTGTCATCCAAGACTGGGCCCTCTACTCGATGAATTCAAGTTGAACACTTTGTCTAGAATACAAAGAGGCAGTAGTGCATTCTCTGTGAAACGCATTATCTGACCCAGGTACACTGTAAACCTTGAGACAGGAGTCTATTACTGGGTTTCAAATGTTCCCTGCTCCCTGTTTCACAGCTCACTAGTTTAATAAAAGGCAATGTGCCTACTCATAGCCCTGTGTCCCCCAACAGGAGAGGACACTCAGGTGGAATGAGAGGTAGAGGACAATAAGGAAAGCCACAGAAACCTGTGTTCTCATCCTGACTCTGTCCTTGCCTCTCTGGGTATCCTTTAAATAAGCCCTTGATCTCTCTTCTTGAACCTAAAACACAAATAGAACTTTTTTTGTCCTGCCGAGTTTGGGAGCAGTGAACAGGATCCCATAGAGTGTAGATGTAGAAGTACATGACAAACTGGAACACACAAGGTGTGAGGGATGCTTCATACCAGGAGTGCAGGGTGGGGTTAGCTCATCCCCATCCTGTGATGGTGGTGATGGTGGGAACTGGGTTGGTCATGGAGGATTACCAGCCTACAACAGCCAGACCAGAGGGCACATAAGCCACACCTACATCCCCATCCCTGATGTTTGTGATTTTCACTCTGCCAAGAGATGGGCATTCCATTCAGTCCTCCCAGCAATGCTGGAATGTAGTAAGCCAAGTCTCAGAAAAGGACATACAAGTGTGTTTCAGGGACACCTGCCCAAGTAGACCTCCCTTCAGCAGCAGACATGAGATCAAAAGGCAGGATTCCCCAGGACTGAGCTCCAGGAATCTGAGCTGGAAACTGTCATCAGCAGAGTAGCCTGGGTTTGAGGTCACACCAGGCCACTTTGGATTGAATGGGAATCCTCAGGATCAGAAGAAGCAACTGACCCATGCCAAGTATCCCACACAGACCGGAAGCAACCACTGCTCACCTGGTCTGCCTCAGGGAAGGAGGCCCAGAAAGAAACACAGCCAGAGTCCCTCCAGGCAAGTGACAGCTTATATCTAGACTGGGAACAAAATGACACAGAGAAAGGAGCAGCATCAAGCCTTGGAACCCAGGAAAAAGTTCATTCCTCACTCTGCCCAGAGTTTCAGGGATTGGTGAGGATTGAAGGGAAGTTACTGGTATCACCAACCAGGCCTTCCGGTGGTGAAATAGCATGAACAGGCTTCTAGAGGATACAAACTGGTGGCCCCCGTGGCCTGGTCAAACCTGTTTCTCTCAGCCATTTTAATAGTGTGGCTGCTTTCGTGTGGGCCTTCTCTAGTATGCTGAAGGTCAGTTTCACTATCTGCCACAGCTCCAGGAGGAAGTATTATTGCAGAGGTGGGCAACCTAAAAATGACATGGTTGTTGTGACCAGCTCCCATTTTAACTTCTGCCTTTCAGGTCAGCAGGAGTCATGGCCCCACTGGGAGAACTGAAACTCTGATCCCCAGTCAGGAGCTGCCTGCTCAGCATCTGTGCCTCTCAGCTGTACTGCTAATGTTTCAATCCCAGATTGACACATTCTTGAGGTTCTAGGCAAATTCCTTTGAGAAAGAGGGCATATTACCTCACTAGTAGCCAATGCTAGTTGATTAATCAAATATCAGAAAAGAGAAAGGAGTATGAGGGTATGGCTCAGTGGTAGAGCACTTGCCTGGTGAGCAGGAGGTCCTCGGTTTGATGCCCGGCACAGGAAGAGGGAGGGAGAGAGAGAGAGAGAGAAGGAAAGAAGGAAAGAAGGAAATTGGCCTCTATTCAAGCCTGCTCTGAGCCAGGCACAGTGGTACACACTTGTAATCCCAGAGACTTGGGAGGCTGAGGCAGGAAGATCTCAAGTTCAAGGCCAGCCTGGACAAAATTCGCAGGACCCTCAGCAACTTAGCGAGATCCTGTCTCAAGATTCACAATACTGGTGGTGTAGTTCATTGGTAAATGTCCCAGTTCAATCCCCAGTACCAAAAGAAAAAAGAGAATCTACTCTGAGCTGAGTTACTGGATATATGATCCTGTTTAAATGCCCCAACATCTTTGTAGGGTAGATGGCATCCCATTGTACTGAATGGAAAACCAAGATTATTTAGTTTCCCTTGAGTTGCCCAGACAGTAAAACAATAGCTGGTTTTTCAACTCAGACCTGAATGTGAAGCTGTGTCCTCTACCCACACTGGCTCACCTGGTACAGGACTAGACACAGCCTCTGCCCTTACCCAGTTCCAGTCTGAAAAAGAGTTAGCATATGCACATGTGCACACTCCTGCCTCTTTTCTCTTCCCAAACTCAAATTGCTTTTCAAAGAGTTGCAGCTACTATTAGCAGGATGTGAGATGCTTTTAGGTGAAATGTTAAAATGAACTATTTTTTTCAGTGTGTGTGTGTGTGTGTGTGTGTCATAAAAATAGAGTTAGTTCAGGCTCCACACTTACAATTCCAGCAGCTCAAGAGGTTGAGGCAGGAAGATTGCAAGTTCAAAGCCAGCCTCAGGAACTTAGTGAAGCCCTAAGCAATTTAGTGAGACCCTGTCTCTAAATAAAATATTGAAAAAAAAAAAAGGCTGGGGCACAGTTGTTAAGTGCTCCTGGGTTCAATCTCCAGTACCAAAAAAATGAGCTAGTTCATAAAATATATGGTTTCATAGATATAAGAGATGATTATTTTAGTCTTTGTCCCCTGCTCCTGGCATAGAGCTCCTAAAACTTCATAATTTCCTGAGCAATAGGATATATCTTTTGTTATAATATTTGATCTTTGACCCTCAGATTTCCTGACACAGAACTTCTAATCCCTTGGAATTTCCTGAGTAATAGGACTGTCTTTTGTTCCAACAAGGAACAAAACTCTCGATGTCATGATGGATTCCTGAACGGCAGCTGGTCAGAAGAACTACACCATGGTTAGAAGCTTAGAACCTTTGGCCCTATACCCAGTCCCCTGGGAAGAGGGACAGGAGATTGAGTCAATACTGACCACGGTTACATGATGAAGCTTCCATAAAAATTCCTAGTGGATTTGGAGAGTTTCACACTTGGTGAACACATGTATATACCAGAAAGGTGGCACACCTCAGCTCCATGGGACCAGAAGCCCCAGCATTCAAGATCCTTCCAGATCTCACCCTATGTACCTCTTCATGTGGTTATTCAGCTATATCCTTTATACCAGTTAAGCCAGTGTGCATAAGCAAGTAAGAATTCTGTGAGCTATTCCAACAAATTATGGAACCTGAGGACTGGGTTATGGGAGCCTCCAGTTTATAGTCAGAAGGGTGGGTAGGAGAAAGAAGTTGTAAGAAACCTGATGACCCTTCCCTTGTAATCAGCATCTAAAACGGGGACCAATCTTGTGGGCATGAGCCCTTAACTTTGGTGTCTGCACTAAATCCAGATAGTGTCAGAACTAAATTGAGTTATAGGACATCCAGCTGTAGGACACCCAAGCAAAGAATTGAAGAATTGCTTGATATAAGAAAAAACAAAAACAAAAAACCCACATATCTGGAGTCCAGAAGTTTTGCCAGAGTAGCAGAAAAATGAAGTTTTTCATCTACACAGACATTCTGTCAATGAGGCCGCAGGAAGTGGCCATGTGAGTAAAGGCCAGGAGACAGGAAATGACTCTGTAAAGGAGCTGGGCCACCCTGGTCCTTCTGGGCATGAGCCCACTCCATGTCTCTGGGCACCTACTGCCACCCTTCATGTCCCTTCCGGTACTGCTGAAAACAAGACCTCCCACTGGCCTTTCTCAAGCCCAAGGCACTTCTGCCTCACTTTTGGCCAAAACTGGTGACCTCACCATGTTTCAGGTCAAGGTCCAGCAAGGAGGGTCCAGCAAGAAGGCCAGGGTCCCTCAGGTACCTAGTCAGACACAGCACAGAAGCCAAGGGTGAGTGAGGGCATTGTAGGAGCCAGTCCTTCTTTTACTCTGTTCAGTAAAATGCAGGCTTTAAGAAGTCACCAAGCGCCGGGCCCAGTGGCACATGCCTGTAATCCCAGAGGCTCAGGAGGCTGAGGCAGGAGGATCGAGAGTTCAAAGCCAGCCTCAGCAAAAGCGAGGCACTAAGCAATTCAGTGAGACCCTGTCTCTAAATAAAATACAAAATTGGGCTGGAGGGGCTGGGGTTGTGGCTCAGAGGAACAACGCTTACCTAGCATGCATGAGGCACTGGGTTTGAACCTTAGCACCACATAAAAATAAAATGAAGGTACTGTGTCCACCTACAACTAAAAATTAAATGTTAAAAAAATGGGCTGGGGATGTGGCTCAGTGTTTGAGTGCCCCTGGGTTCAATTCCCAGTACCTCCCAACAGAAAAAGAAGTCACCAAAGTGGGTGCAATGGCTCACACCTGTAATTCCAGAGGCTTGGGAGGCTGAAGTAGAAGGATTGCAAGTTTGAAGCCAGCTTGGACAACTTAGCAAGACTGAATCAAAATAAAAATTTTTAAAGGGATGGGGATGTAACTCAGTACTAGAATGCATGCCTAGCATGTGTGGGGCCCTGAGTTCAATCTCTAGCACCACAGTTGGGGGGAAAGTCACTAAGAACCCTTTACGCTCAGTCCTGGGAAACCCATTCAGCACACACACACACACACAAGCCCCCACTATCATTACCTTCTCATAAGCCACAATACAATACAATTAGGGCAACATTCCGAGAATTAAACACTCATTAGAAAGGAAAATAGCTATAAGTGATTGAGAGCAATTTTCTTGACAAGAACTCATTAGGAGGCAAAGATTTCAGTTAATTAAATAGAAGAAAGTGGAGCCTTCTCTGGATTGGAGCATCACTGCTCAAGCCAGACCCAGTGCCCCATAGTGAGATGCCCAAAGCCCTTTGTAGGCACTTCCTTCCTGGGAGGAAGAGCTGTCCTCCCAAGGAGCCTGGCAGGAGCGGGAAGTAAGTATGAAAGACAGAGAGACAGCAAGACAGAGAGGCGCCTCTTAAAGAGTCAGTTCAGAGGAGAGGCTAAGTATTACCAAGAAGAGCTGATGGGGGTGGGGATGGCTCAGCAGTAGAGCACATGCATACCTTTTGCTTGGCCCTGGGTTCATTCTCCAGCATCTGCTCCCCCACCAACAAAGAACACCAATCCTGTTCTAAGCCCTAAACCACAACACTGCAGGGTAGATTTTGGTATTTCCCATCCCCATTTGACAAAGGAATGGAGACTCAGAAGGGATAGTCTTTGCCCTAGGTCTCACCTGGTCGGGGAGAGATTCTTGTTAACATATTGGAAGGTTCATGCTCACTTCTGCTGGAGCTGCACCATTAGGAAGCCCATTCCTTTATCTTAACGCATCCTAAACAACCTACTAAAATGTTAACATTAACCCCATTTTCATCCCTTATGACCTCCATGCTGAGTGTTAGGTGGATTAAGGATATGAAAGCAAGAAGAACCCATAGTATTCAGAAGACACCACAAAATCCTGGGACCTCACATTACCCAGGGAGAATAGCTGAGAATGAGTAATACCAGGGAGGACACCCAAAGGGAAAGGGAGCCAAAGGACCCTGAAACCTGGGATAGCACAGCTGCGGCTCTCAATGACATCACCCAGAGTTGCCGGAGCCCTTCCCCACCAGCTCCAGTCATGGCTCCCTTTGGACATCTGTATCCTTGCAAGAAAATAATATGGAAGAGACCTCTACAAGTATAGTGTACAAAAAGTATAGAGATCGGCTCGCTCTCAAAGCTTAGGAAAGGGGAAACCAGCAGCAGGGTGGACCATACCTTCCAAAGCAGGGTCCAGAGTAAATGGGGCCCCGTCTCCATTAATTAGAAGAAGAAATGCTTGAGCTAAAAGTTCTGGGGTAAGGCACGGTCACATTGGAGGTTAGGGGACTGCCTTTAATCCCCACTTCTCAATGTACAAATCACTGGAATCCCTAATTGACTCTTTGTCATCTGTGCCCACCATGGACCCATTTTAAACCAGGCCTGCCACCTCACTGGCCAGCAGGGAGGAGGTGCTGGTCAGGCACACAAATCTCTGGTCTGCCTGGCAGTTATCATTCTCACTGGTGATGGATCAGTGGATGAATCATGCTGCCTCGGTCTCAGAGGATTTGGAGATGTGAGTCAGCTTCCCCAAGTCCTGTGTGCTATGAGATGCTGACCAGGTGGATCTCCTGAAGGTTGGAACAGGACTGCAGTGACTCAGTCCACCTAGGGCAGAGCCCTTATGAATCAGCCTCCTCCCTCAGGGTTTGCGTGCGCTTTCCACTTAGAAACTTCTACCCAAAGTAGGTGCTTCGTGTTGGATAGAGGATGAGTGGACAGATGGATAGACAGATGAACAGAAGTAAGACTGCAGAGTCTAATCTCCTGACTTCTAGAGCTGAAACTCACCCACCACACTGGACCATCTTTTTGGCTATATCTTCATCTTTTGTTTCCCTGTTAAGGGGGGCTCATGGCCAATACCCCCAGGCCTGCTCACCAAGTTCTTGCTGACCATCTGAACTGGACTCCCAGATGAAAGCCATCTTCCACAGTCAAGCTGTTCTGGTGACACGAGGAGATGGGAATGTTTTAGGAGTTTTTTGTTTGTCTTAATGAACCGTGTAAAGAAATCTCCACCAGGCTCTGGGCATTGGCCAATCACTTGTCACTAAGGATGAGCACACAGCCTATAAGCAATTCCTACTCACAGTGGTTCTCAGTGTGTCTTGATGAGATACCTTGTTCAGGGCATCCCAGGACCAAGTGGCAGAAGATCAAACTGTGTTCACTTTTGTGCTGTATCCAGGGGCCTTCCCATATGATGTCCCAGACCCTTCCTTCTGACCCCTCATTGGTCCTGAGACTGCTCTAGTAATAGAAGGAACTGGAGCTTTGGAATTCAGAGGCCAGGATTCATGTCCAGACCAGGCTTACCAGGTACAGTTGGTTGCCTTCTGTCCCCAAATATCTAGCAAAAGGGGTTCAGCCTTCAGCTGTGCAATGTGCAGGACTGGGTCCATGAAGGTACCATATGGGTTATCAGGGGCCCGGTCAAGGTCCTGCCATTACTCATCCACATGTGCTTGGGAAAGTCATGGTCTCTTCTCCAAGACTTGGTTTTCTTACCTGTAGAAAGGAAGTAATGTGATGTTTGTTCTATTTACCTTGCAGGTGTATGTTGGGGTCAACAATTGTAGGACCCAGCAGTACTTTGTGGACACAGGATAGTAGTACCCCATTGACTCACTTGGGGACAATACATTTGACCTCCTAGCATGCCAGGGCCACCATCCTGCTCTCTTCTGGGACCTGGTGATGCTTTGGAATTCCTTCCCAGCTGTATTTCTTCTTCCCTTGTCCTTTTATTTCTCCTTTAAGACCTCTTTCCTGAATGCTATTAAATTTTCCTTATTGATTTTTAAGTTATTGTAAAGGTAATCAATTATTCTGGTTTAAAAAAAAAATCAAAGAGATCTTTGAGGCAGAAAATGAGAGAGAGAGGTTCACTTTCCTGAAGCAGCCACATCCTTTGGATGGTAGCATAACCTTCAGCCCTGCATTCTGGAGTCTGGCTCTTTGTTCTTTCCAAGAAACCTGTGATGACAAGACATCTGGAGGTCCACCCCATTCTATTCATGAATATTAACTTGCACGCACACCCTTTAGGGAGCAATGTAAACTTGACTGGAATGTTTGTAGGTCAGGAGGGAGATCCCACCACACACCCCTCAGCAAATAACACCCACCATTGGGCAGCATGATCTCTTCCCCACCCACATCCCACCTCCAAAGGATTGGTTCTAGGGTGGCAGAGGCTCCTGGAGCCTGCGCCTTTGAGAAGGAAGGCGCTGACTAGGGAGGGTTGTCAGCTTTTCCTGAAATGTCAATAAATCATAAGTTTCTGCCTGAATTACTTAAAAAACTAGGACACTCAGAAATACATTACCTCCTGCCCAGCACCATTCCCTTCCCATGGCAGCTGCCAAACATGAAGCGCAGGACTCGGGCATCCTCCATACAACAGCAAGCCCTTGGCCGTGGGGGTGGGCACGTGGCAGGATGTGGAGTTGGAATGAGTGTTCCTGGGTCTTTCGAGGAGGTAAACCAGTGGTTGGTGAGGGGAAGGCTGACTTCTGGTCCCAGCCACATCCTAATGTACAAAGTGACCTCGGGCAAATCACTTCCTGTCTTTACCTGTCCCCCATCTTTGCTAACCTGTATTTACTGAATCCACTGAGCTTGGCACTTCACTTGTAATGTCCTGGTGATCATGCTGTAAGGCAGCTCCCTCCATCTTCTCTGTTATGGTCTTAGAATCCTGGGGTGTGCAGAGGTTAAGAGCACACCAAAGGTCACAGCTGAGGCCTGGGCCTGGGCAGTCTAGCTCCAGCCCCTGCATACTCACCACCATGCCAGGGGCACCGACTGCACTCTCCAGAGGCTGGACTGGGGATCTCTGGCACAGTGAGAGCCTTGGGAGATGGAAAGAGGTGGAGGTCCTGAAAGTGAATCCTGACCACTCAGGAGGGGGGCCAGAGAGTAGGAAGAAGGCAGGGGCCTCTCATGCTAACTCATAAGATGAGCTAGTGACAGCTGCAGGGGCGTTCAGAGTCCAGTCACAGGTGAGGGCCCAGGACAAAGACCAGGGAGCCCAAGGACACCTTCACCTTCCTGACTCTTCCAACCTCAGGTAGCCTCCTCTCCTTCAAAACCACAAAGCCCCAAATGTCATTTCTGCCAGCCCTGCCCAGAGAAAAAGGGTGACATGAGTGAGCCTTGTGTCACACTAGTGCAGTGACTTGGGGGTTTAGCTGAGGACTTGGCCTCAGCACCATCTGCTCCTCACTGGGACCCTTTGCAGGGCATAGGACCAACAGTCACCATAGCCAGGGGGACACCAAGAACTAGAATACTGATCCAGCTGTCCCTGTGCCCTCAGACATGCCTGAGTGACCAGGAGACCCATGGCAGAGAGGGAAAAAGACTCCAGTCCCTGCTATACCACACACTTCCTAGGGGAACCCATCCAAAGTCCAAGCTTAGGGCTCACAGTTCCAAGTAACAGAAACCCAAATCCAACTGACTCAAAAAGGGGGAGGGGGAATGTTAAAGGATTCTGGAACTTTTCATCACCCATGTGCTCAGGAGAAGATAAAATGAAGACTGAAATACCATAGGATGCTACTCACCCCTCTGCCCTGTCTCAGCATCTGTCTTTCATGTTGCAGCCTGACTTCCTCCACATGGGAAAAACAGGGCGGCCATGGTACCAGCCATCATCAGAGCAATACTGCTTCCCTTGCCTTAGATCCAGCCTGATGAAAACAAAATAGAGGTTTTCATTGGCCAAACTGGGGTCAGTAGCCCCTTCCCAGTTCAATCAATTTCAGCAAGGGGGAAGAGTCATAGGACATGTCATGTGAGAAAGGGATAGCTACTAGGGCTATAATGTGTCCATATCATTCTTAGAAAAGGAGACTCACCAGGGACCAGGAAGCCACTCCAGTTGGTTATCTCTCATGCCTCTCTGAGCCTTCGTTCCCTCCACAGTGAAGTAAGATGATATTGACACAGCTGTGAGTTTTTGATGAGACTGTGTATAACATGTCCAGTGGCTGGAAATGTTCCATAAATATTTGCATATTCATTTTTACTTGTTGTTACTATTGTTGTTGCTGCTGTCGGTAGAAGGACTTGCTCAGTCAAAGGAAGACCAAGGTGAACACCAGGAGGCTGTGGGCAGAGCAGAGCCTTGGTCATGGGTGCTGCCTGAGCCCGTGTTCTCAAAAGGCCACTGAGTGCAACCTCATGTGGACATACCCAGGACCTGCAGTGGGGGTGATGGGAGAAGGTGGCCTCCAAGACAGCTCCCTGCCCAGGTCTCAGCCCATCCAAAGGGAGAACAGTCCAGATCCGCTTCCTCTTCTCCAGTCGTGAGGAACAAGCAAGAGAATGTGAACGGAAGGGAAAACTGTAAAGTCTTATTAGCAGTTTATTGTTGTTATTAATTATCATCTCAGAAAACTGCTGGGATTATGAGTCTGTGTTTCCTCACGTTTTCTCTAATGGCTATTACCATGAGGGGAGCCAAGCAGACTTAATTTGCTAATGCCAACAACTTAATTATGCAAAACCAGATCTGCTAATGAATTTCTCCCACTCTGGCTGCTGGTGCTGATTAGTTTTGCAGGTACCTTTATTGGAGGGAGAGGGAGGGCAGGAGCTTGGGTGTTTAGCTGTCACTCCTCTATGCCCAGAAGCCACCCACTCGCACACACACACACAACCTGGACCAGGGCCACCTAAGATATGAATCACCAGCTCTGAGAGGCATCAAGATGGCTGAATAGATTATTTGGTAATTTAAGGTGTTCCCCCCCCCCACTGAGAACAGAATCAAATAGCTTGTCTCAGAAGGCAGAAAAAGGCCACTATTGAATTAAATGGAAGCTACAAATGACTTTTTTCCTCTCTCCTCCTCTCTCTGCTCTATTTCTGATGGCTATTTATAGACCCGAGTCTTCTTGTTGCAAATGAGGGACATTCTCTTCCCCCATCCTCCACTATTCTGCCCCATATCCTTGAGGACGGTGGTCTTTGGAGGATCTCAGGATTAGACTTTGGGCACTGGTAGCCCAGGCCCCTTCTTGGCCCTCCTGTACCCTCTTATCAGCTCCTTCAGTGGGTAGCTGCCCCATCCTTCTCCCCCTATGAGCTTCTCCAAGAGCAGGACCAGTCTGCCTGCTCAGGGCCAGATGGAGGCTGGGGACAGTGAAGGCCCCATACATGTCATAGTATTTCAGTGACAAACTAAGAAACCCCTCTGGCTTAGTGAGGCCAAAGAAGACAATTTACCAGAAGAATCCAAACACAGATGAAAAGGAAGGGGAAATAAACTTTCACAGCCTTGGGGAGGGCAAGATTCAGGACGGTCTGGGGATCTGGGGATGCTGTACTTTTAGGGCACAAATATTTTCCAGGTGTTTTAACAACAAATAGTTCAAATCCCACTGTACTATACTCACTGGGTGACCTTGAATAAGTTTCTTAACCTCTCTGGGGCTAATTTATCTGTCATAGGATCATAAATCCTTCCACCCCATCTTTCACAGTTTGTTGTGAGTATAATCCAGATGCCAGCTGCAGTCCTGCTGTTCTTTGAAATCTAAATGAAATTGGCTGGGACCCCAGATCGCTTGTCAATGGAAATCCAATATCCTCCCCCAAGATTTCTGTGAATACTTGGGGATGGTTGCACTCAGGGGCACCTCTTGTCCTGTGGGCATCTCCAGCTCATTGGTATTATTGCAGAAGGAAACCTAAACAAACTCTCTAGCTTCATTTACTCTTTGTTGACTTCAAAAAAAAAAAAAATCACTTGGGAGGCTGAGACAGGAGGATCACAAGTTCAAGGTCAGCCTGGGTGACTTAGCAAGACCCTGTCTGAAAATAAAAAGTAAATTTAAAAAGGGGTGGGGATGTAGCTCCGTGGTATAGTGCTTGTCTAGCCTGTGCAAGGCTCTGAGTTCAGTCCCCAGTACTGTGCACATATAGAAACAAAATCACTAGTTTGGGAAGTCACAAACTGGGTCTTGCATTATTAGTCTCCCCTTAGCCCCACTATAGATAACTTCTCCAAATGAAGGCAACTCACGGGTTAAAACTTTACTTCTGTGAGCAGCTGCATTTCCCTATCTTTCCCAGCATAAAGTTGCTATTCTGTTATCTTTCCCTTTTCTCTGGTGAAAGATGCTTTTTTGTATCCTAATGGCTAATGGCTGAGTTAGCTATTCCTGGAAAAGGAATTAAAATGACATGAGTTATAAGACTTTCCAATCAGGAAATTTTCTTTAGATTTAAGATCCCAGGACTTCCAGTGGTCTGCAGATGACTGCAGTCCAGGCATTAGAAAACCAGATCACCCGAAACTTGTGACTACTCGAAACCTATGATGTCCATTGTGAGATATGCCTCCCCACCGCTCCCTTTGGAAGCCTTGCACCTACAAGCCCTAAGTGAGGTGGTCTTTGTTGGTAAGAACTTCCATCTTCTTTGATTTGCTAGCTTTCTAAATAAATCCTGGTCCTTGTCCCAACAATGTGTCCTCAAGTCCTTGGCCTTCTCAAGTGGCAAGCCATGAACTCGGGTTCATGGTCACAGCAGCCCACATCCATGGCTGTTTTGTTGTCTCTGCAATTCAGCCTCCCTCCTTGATTTCCCCAAAGGAACATTTATGTTGTGATCTGGAACAAGCAAACTTCAGTTCCCCACAAAACGGAGGATTTAATATTTTTGTATGGAATGTGCTTGTGCATTGATGAATGATCATAAGATAGTACCTGTCGGGGTTTTAGCCCCCCCACTTCCCTCCTGACCTGTGGGAGAGAGGGGGAGAGCACGCCCCGACCAGGATGAGCCAAGAAAGGAGAGGGCCGACTGACAGCCCGCACCCAGCCCTTCCTCCTTCACTCCCTGAGGACAATCAGATGTGTCAGGGAGAACAGTCAAAGCAGGAGCTCATTTATTGAGAAAACACACACAGCTAATATAATGTACAGGAGCCAATCAGGGTAAAGGTCAGCAGGGTGGGGAGAGTTCACGTGTACACCCATCCTACAGGCCGTAATGGGAGACAAGAGCTGTCCACGAGGGCAGAAGGGTTCTGAGCCTATCCTAGAGGTGGTCCGATTTTTCCTCACAACCCACGGCAATGACTTCTGGCTAATCGCCAGGCGCCCTCTTAGCCACATGTGGCCCCAGGACTGGGAAGCGGGTAGCAGCCAGCAAGTTAGGTTTCCTCTTTTCTGATGCAACATGCCCCGCATGTTACAACATGCCCTACAACTACCCACTACAGTTATTATATAAAAGTTACTTTCATTGTTAAGAAATTAGCCCTCTGCCATCTTGCCAAAGACTACCTACCCATTTTCTCTCTCCTCTGCACTACCCCGCCTCCACCAAAATCCTCTTGCATTTCTTATGTTGAGCACTGGATGATCCCTTTGCTTCACTGTCACCTTCCAGAATATTACCTTCCACCTGCAAATTGGCCTATCAAGGAACTTCCTAAAGTTGGTGCCTTCTTTAAAAGCATCATCCATTAAAATAATAATTTTCCATACTCAATACATGAAGATCAGTTAAGTATGAAAGTGTTTTGAAAACCACAAAGTACAGCCCACATGTGAAAGGTTATTAAGTCTGTTTCTCTTAGTCACTGGACAAAGCTTCTTGGAATGAGTCTAAGCTCTTTTTGCTTGCATCCATCTCTCTGCCTTGTGAAAAGTATAGGATCTAATGGATTTTCCTGAAACAACCATTTTCAGGCTCCAGAGAAACCTAGCCTCATTATCTTGAATTAAACATATCCATCCCAACCATCCCTTTCCACTTTTAAAAATTCTTATTGGAAAATAATTTACATACAGAGAGACAAATCATGAATTTTTACATCTGTATAACCAGCACTCAGCTCAAGACGACAGAGAAAATGACTAGCTCTAGAAGCCTTCCTTGGGTTTCCTTCCAATCACTGCCCCCAAAGTTGACCTCTACTTGTTCCTGGTCACATGTGTATCAGTGGTAGAGCAGGGATTTGAGCCTGTGCAGCCTGAGCTCTTATCTCCACTGCTTCCCTGTGTTTCTGAGAACATAGGCTAATAATATATCATAGAAAGTGATTGCAATGGAAACCTCCAAAAAATGAAGCCTAAGTTTAAGGGAACAGAATATTTTATAATGAGCAGTAGGCATAGCTGCTCTTTGCTCCAGAAGGAAACAGTATCATGCACTTTTAAGGATATTTGCTGTACAAACATCCTAGGAAAGATCATCTGGAGCAGAGGCAGCCAGTCCCCCTACTCATGAGCTGCATAGAAATATGAGAACCCCATGAAGAAATGTGTCCTAATAGCTGCTCTGGCCTAGCCACCTTCCACACCTGCTTCCTCATCAGCAGCAGAGATGCTGGAGCTGCCCACAGAACCCAAGGACTTGAAAGGTTGGCCTGAAAGGGAGACTATCATGCCATCTGGAGGTGGCCCCTGAGCAGCTGCAAGCCTAATCCATGTCAGGCCCACTGGCCCTGGTGAGGTTGTGGGCTCTGAGGACACCAGCTGCTGGGCTCATGCTTAGACCCCCTGGGCACACCCCCCTTCTCTCCTCTGCCCTCTGCCTCCTGACACCTTCTCTGCCTCTCCTAAACCTTCTCCTCACTTCATTTTATTCTCTCTTCATTATTTTTTCTTTTGTTCTGGCTCTTCCTATATCTCTTCCTCTCTTGATGATTTTATATATGGGGCTGACTACATCACCATGAATGTGATAAAAGAAGGAATTGTCACTTACTCATAAGCTCTAAACCCAGAGATAACCACAGGGAACATTTTGGACTCATTCTCCCAAAGTTTTCTCTACACGTGTCCAAATATACCAACATGCTTACCACCAAATTGAGATTCCACCCAAATGGCTCTCAGACTCTCTAAGCTGCTCCAGAGGAGAAGGCAAGAGGAAGAAGCCTTTCTTCCCTGCCTTCCCCTAGAGAAAGGGAATGACAAGAATCTGGGACCTTTGCTGGCTGCCCAGGGTATTGGTTTTCTGGGACACCAGCTGAACCTGAGTCCCCCTTCCTAGCCCATTCCCAGCAGCAGGCTCAAGTCTAGGGGAAATCTCAACTATGAGGGGTCCTCGGGAATGGAGGCTGGGATGATCACATCTGTTCTTCTGAT